ATTTCGGTTCGATTCAAAACGATTTGATTCAATTTAATGATTTGGTTCGATTTTCACTTGGTTTACAGTTTTTTCACTTGATTTTTGAAAAATTCAAACTGGTTTATTGGTTCGGTTCTGCAATAATAAATTATTTTTTGCTAAATTTCATTGGTTAAAATTTCAATTAAATTTTTTAATGAAAAATCTTTGCAATAATAAAAATTTTTTAATTGAATTTTCAGGTTATTTCATAAAATGTCCTTGTAGTTTGCTTCCGTTAAACTATAAAGTCCTTTTTTTGTCCAATTTTTGTATCTTTCCCTTAAGTATTTTATGAAATGATGAAAATACCTTTTTGTTTTAAAAATACGGGGATGAATAATTGTATTTTTCAAACCATAGAGACTACATTATAATTTTTTTGGTATAATATTTTAGTATCTCTCTTTTGACCTCTGTGTTTTCTTGTTGATTTAACAAAAAAGGTGCAAAAATTTAAAAAAAAAGAATCTAATAGTGTAACAGAAATAAAATATAAGGATAAATTAATATTTTTGAAAAAAAATAGGGACGAACTAATTGTATTTCTTGTACCGTAATTTCCCTTGTAAATATAATGAAAAAAGAAACATTAAGTATTTTGAAATTAGATCCCATAAACTGCATAGCATGTTGACTTATCTCTCAAATAAATCTCTATCAGTTTCCCAACATAAAGATTAACATATTAATACTGTGATTTTCGAAGATTTTGATATCGTTTTTTAAATAAGCTTGAATATGTAAATTTTTTATGCGTTAAAATTTTAAAAAATATTATTCTTTCATTATTGAGATTATTAAATAATTAATCAAAATATTAATTTAATAAATTAATATCTAAAACTTTAATTTATAAAGTTTATTGTATAGATATTAGTTAAGTAGCTACTAATTCAAAAAGTTAAAGTTATTTTTGCTTTAAAAAATAATGAAAATATTTTAAAGCATGTTTGAATTGGTTTTTTTTTTTTAATCAAAAATGGAATGGAATATATTACTGGCAATCAGAAAGCATAGCTTGCAAAATGAAACTAGGGGGATGGACACTCCATTCACTCACATCTGACAAGGAACCGTAGCCCCAGCATACAAATGAGCCACCGCATTCGCAGATCGACGCACACAACTAAACTAAACATCTGCAATCTCTCGCAATAGAGATTTACACACATCAATAATTAAACCAAAAGATGAATAATCTGAATAGATAGTATTTTTCATGGCTTGTATGACTCAAAGGGCATCAGACTCCACGGTGACCCTTGTCCACCCTTTAGACAAAACCCAGCCTCAAAGCCTCCTTGATACCCACCGCTTCAGCCTCCTTAGCAGAATAGGAGCCCTAGAAGACAACATTAGCAGCTTGAAGAAAAACACCTTGACTATCACGCACCACAAACCCGACCTCGAACTGATGTTTTGGCAAATTGGTAGCTACATCAACATTGACTTTGTACCAGCCAAGAGGAGGACACTTCCAGGACATAACCGTGGTCGATAAAACAGAAGCAGCTTGAGTTGGATCGACCTCAGCACGTTGATGCACCGATTTTCAGTCCGAGAAAAGACGAGAGATCCGAAACCAAGCTTGCAGTGGACTGAACACTCTCTGCTGCCACAACTTATCATTCTAACACAACCAGACACCCCAGCATATGAAAAAACCCAAAGCAACGTCCAACACACCATAGCTCGACATGAAAGTCGTAGCCCACTCAAGAAACAAATTAACAGGCGGATTATACCAACCCAAAGGAGAGGCCTGCCAGACTGCCTTCGCAAAGGGCATCTAATAAGAATATGAAGCACAGTTTCTGAATCACCATGGCACAACGGGCAAACATCCAAAACAGGAACATTTCGGGTTATAAGCTGTGAAAGACTTGGAATAATATTATTATAAGCTCGCCAAAAGAAGTTGCGGATTTTGGGAGGGATACGAACTCTCCATATTTTCCTCCAAGTGGAGCAGGTCTGGGATGGTCGAAGAAGATTCACATTCCAAGTAAGTGCCGATATGCACTTTTAACCGAATACATACCTTTCTCCTCAAGCTTCCAACAAAGGTGATCTCGCAAAACCGTACTCACAAGACAGAATAAGCTCCTGATCCCGAGCATTGAAAATAGAGGAAATGAGAGGCAGGTTCCCGAGCATGTTTGAATTGTTAATTTTTAATTGATAAGAAAAATTAATAATTAGTTATTACATTAAGTTTTTCCTTAGAATATATAATTTTACATATATTTAATTTTAATTATAAGATTAAAAAAAGATTATATCATTCACATTTGAGTAATGTAAATTTAAGTATATTTTAGTGATAAACACATACAGTTTCAGACTTTGAATTATGTTTGATTTTTCTATTTTCTTAGTGCTAAAACAAAAAATATATCACATTATTAATGTGTATATACACTCCTCTGCTGCCACCTACACTTCATATCATCAATCTAAACACACAACCAGGACACACACCCCAGCATATTGGACAAAAACCCCACACAGCAACGGATCCAACACACCATAGCTCGACATCGAGAAGGATTCGTAGCCCCACTCAAGAAAACAAATTAAACAGGCGCGATATATTCACCCAACCCAAAGGAGCGAGGCCTCGCCAGACTGCCTTCGCACCAAGCGGCATCTAATAAAGGCAATATGAAGCACAGTTTCTGAACTCACCATGCGCACAACGGGCAAACATCCCAAAAACCAGGAACATTTCGGCGTTAAAAGCTGTTGTGAAAGTACTTGCAATAATATTATTATAAGCTCGCCAAAAGAAGTTGCGGATTTTCGGGAAGGATACGAACTCTCAGCATATTTGTACCTCCAAAGTGGAAGCAGGTTCTGATGGTCGAAAAGAAGATTCCACATTCCAAGTAAGTGTCCGATTATGCACTTTTATAAAAACCCGATAACTATTTACCTTTCTCCTCAAAGTCTTTCCCAACAAGGTGATCTCGCAAAAACTCGACCTCACAAAGCGATACCAAGCAAGCTAGAGCCTCACTCTGATCCCCGAGACACTATTGACACCAATAGAGGAAAATGAGAGGCAGGTTCCCGAAGGCCATGGTTCGTACATTGGTTTAATATTTAATTTCTGATAAATGAAAAAATCTCCGACATTACCATTACGTTTATATTACATTTAAAGTCTTTTCCTAGAATATCATAAAATTTTACATATATATGCAAGTACACGATCTAATATTAATTCTATAAAGACTTACAAAAAGGATACGATATATCTATTCAACACATACTTTGCGTCGAGTCTACAATGCTAACAATCTTCAAGTATATTTAGTGACATCAAACCAACATACAGCATTCTCAGACGTATTGAAATTAATTGTTTTGATTTTTTCTAAGTTTTCTTAGTCGCTCAAAACAAAAAATATATCACACTAAATTCATAAATTCGTGTTATATATATCATCTATACTATAACTATTACTATACTATTATATATATATATACTCATACTATATATATATATATACTATATAAAAACATAATTACACTAAAACAAAATTACTTGAATGTATTTAAATGATAATCTCATCACTTAACAGTATTGCCTGTTCGACCTGACCATATATTTTTAATATATTTATATACCGCGAATGGGTTCTGAAACCAATAATTACTACGATACATAATCATAATTATATTTTTTCGCTTCTTTTTACAGAAAATTATTTATGAACTATAATATTTAAGGAACCTATATAATAAAATAATTAACTAAAACAAAATTTACTTGATGTATTAAATGATATCATCAAAAGTATTGTGTTGACCTACCATATATTTTTAATATATTTGGTATTTGGTGAGAATTGGTTTGAAAAATAATTCTACGTACATATATAATTATATTTTCGCTTTTTTTACAGAAAATTATTTATGAATATATATTTAAGGACCTCATAGTTAATTTAACTATAATTTAAAAATTAATTCCTCTGTCAATTGAAATTAAAAGAAGCTATTGTGGATGAAATTAACGTGTTATTGGAATCATAAGTAAATTTCATATTTAAAAGTCATATGGATAATCTTGTAATAATAATAAAAAATATGTATATATTCATCCACCCTTTATTTAAAGTTGAAAAAAAAAAGTTGGAAAAGGCGAAATTTACCTGTCTATAGCTCTCTCTTTTCTCTCTAATTTTCTAACTGTAGTTTTAGTTTGAAGCCGCCGCTGTTTATCAATGATAACCCCTACCTTCTCCTTTTTAATATATTTTTCGCTTTACATTCTTTTGCTTTTAATCTTCTTTTGCTTTAATGAACTCAGATCTGTTTTTTCTTATAACATATCTGTCTTTTTCGTTTTCTTATTGTTGGTTATCTCCATATTTGGAGTTTTTTTGTTCCTTCTTTATGAAGATTTATTACTAAACAAAACTATGATATTTGATTTTATTTGGCCAGAAACTTTAGATCTTAATTTGCAGTTATGGATCTTTAATCGATAAAGTCTGATAGTGTAGCCTGTTTTTCCATTGATGCTATTGATGCACAGTGGCAGAAACTCATTTGTATTCGTCATATGTTGTAAATTATTGAAAAAACAATTCAGTTATAGAAGATTTAGGGGAGTTATCATTTTAACGTCTAAATCAATTAACGGATTAGTTGTTACTATGAACATATATATATATGTTGTCAAGATCCACTCTAATCAGAAAGATCTAATATTATATTTTTTAGTTTTAGTTTCATTGAAAAGGATATGAATGCTTTTGTTTCGTTAAAAGATCAACTAACTTTATTAGCTACAAATAGTAAAGTTCTATATCTAGTTTATACGATTATTTGTAATTCTTGATATTATTATTTATGAATTAAATTTTAAAAAAAATAAGTTGAAAAAAAAAAAGGCACAAAATTGGTTCCTGTAAAGCCCATGGACATAATATCGGCCCTAATTTGTATCAACATTGATATGGAGTTTCACGCCCAAGAAAGTTTCTACGAAAAACAGACACAGACAGAGAGGGAGTCAAGAGTCACAGATGGAGAGTAGCAGTGCAAGTGATGCTCAAATGGTCCTTCAAAACCCTAACAATGGAGTAACAATTCGAACGAATAAGAAAGAAGAGAAGCCAGAGGTGGTGGTTATAATGGGTCCCACTGGTTCAGGCAAATCAAAATTGGCCATTGATTTAGCAACCAACTTCCCCATTGAAATCATCAATGCTGATTCGATGCAGGTCTACCATAGCCTAGATGTTCTCACCAATAAGGTTCCCTTCCATGACCAAAAGGGTATAATTTCTCTCTCTCGCTCTCTCCCGTAGTTATGCTATATTTATTTGTTTTTGTGATTTTGTGGGTGCACTTATGTGTCTTGTAGGAGTTCCTCACCATTTGCTTGGGAATATAAGCCCAAACGTTGAATTCACAGCAAAGGAATTCCGGGATTCTGCTATTCCTGTGAGTTGTCTTTAGCTCAGGTTTTCTGTTCTTTCAATTGATTGAATTGAAGATTTTTTTTTTCTCTTGCATTAATGTTTGTTGAGTTGGCATCTTTTACTCTTATCAAGCGAACAATGAGATTTGATAGTTGTTGATCCTTTTTTTTTTTGTTCGATTTTCAGATTATTAATGAAATATGGTCACGCAACTGCTTGCCGGTCATTGTTGGGGGTACCAATTACTATATTCAGGTGGGAACTCTTACTTTGTGCATAAAGGTTAAAACTTTTATTTTTATTTATATCTCTATATCTGTATAATGAGAAGAAGTTTTCTGAGCAAACTGAAAATCCAGATGTTTCCTTTAGTACATTTGTGCAGCAGAATGTTAAGTCTTGGTTCTGTTACGCTGCATTCCTTATGTATTGCCTGTTTTTGTCTGTTCATTGCTTTCAGGCTCTGGTGAGTCCATTCCTCCTAGATGATAATTTGGAAGATTTGGATGAAAGCTTTCAGAATCAGCCCCTTGGTATACAGCAAATCCATTGCTTTACAATTTGCATTGACAACTTCAGTATTATTAATTTACAATATTCCCTATGGTTTTCAGGAGATGAACAGAGTGATGAGACGCCTGAGTATGGTGGAAATGGTGCCAATAGATATGATTATCTTAAAAATCTTGATCCTGTTGCAGCTAACAGAATTCATCCAAATAATCATAGAAAAGTAGGCTTCAAAACTCCCTACTTGTCACTTTTCAGTCCTTGAAATATTTGTAAAGTTGCATGTTTTTTTCTACTTTTTCCACTAGATTTAATATTGTGATGATTATAAGAAAAAATTCTTACTGTTTCTGCCTGCATCATTTTGCTTACTTCTGCCATTCATGGACTGGAAGTCTTCTCATGGCCTGAGGGACTAGTGAATTTCTTGTAACTGTTGAGTGTGGCTTTATTTTTCATTTTTCCTACCTCATCTACTAATTAGACTGGCGTTTGGCTTGAGACCCGAGGATTTACCTGAGTTTGGCCTATGATGTTTGATGTTAGGCTAGGCTAGTTTCATCACTAGCGGCAGTTTGCTTTATTATATTGACTGTATATCTTTGGATCTGATGTTTAAAATATATCTATGCTTTCTTTTGGTTCATGTTTACTTTAACACAATTTTCATGGACATCTATATAAATCTATATGACTAAAAGAAAATATTGTTGACATTGCTCTCATTTACATAATTTGATTATTTTACCACAAGTAAACACTTACGGTTTTGTGGCTTTATCCTGAGTTCCTGATGGCATTTTAAGTGGGGCTTGTTCAAATAAGCAACTGTCCTTGATTTGTTTTCCGCTCCACTAATCGCTGTGCAACATCTTTCAATAATTTATGCATTTGTATGTATAATTTCAGGGAAAATCCATATGCTTTAGATCCCTGAATTTGGTTCTGTTTTGCAGATCAATCAGTACCTTAATTTGTATTCTCGCTCGGGTATTCTCCCTAGCAAACTTTATCAGGGAAAGGCCGCAGAGGTTGGTATATTTATCCATGTAATATATGAGCTTCAGTGTGTATTATTTTTGTGAAACTGTCTTGTATAAAAAGAGTGCTTTATATATTATTAAGAGTTAATATTCAGGGAAAGGCCGCAGAGGTTGGGTATATCTTATCCATTAATATATGGTTGTATGTATAATTTCAGGGAAAATCCATATGCTTTAGATCCCTGAATTTGGTTCTGTTTTGCAGATCAATCAGTACCTTAATTTGTATTCTCGCTCGGGTATTCTCCCTAGCAAACTTTATCAGGGAAAGGCCGCAGAGGTTGGTATATTTATCCATGTAATATATGAGCTTCAGTGTGTATTATTTTTGTGAAACTGTCTTGTATAAAAAGAGTGCTTTATATATTATTAAGAGTTAATAATTTTCTTATTTTTTTAGCATTGTTGTTGACAAAATCATTATCTTGAATATGTTGATTAAAGGCCATTGAATATTTTGTTTCAAGGTAAATTTGACATTTCTTTAGTTCTTAAACTTCAAAACAGTTGAGCAACATGAATTTTTTGCAGGATTTAAGAGGGTGCCTTTTGAAAAAGTAGTTTCCAACATCAATGAAAAATAGCCTGTTAGTAATTCGTTTTAAGGCCTTGGTCATTCTGTATGCCATTCAACTTTGCTTGATGCCTAAAATTTTATGGCATTAAATTTGCAGATTGAACAAATTTGAAATGTAATATATGATAAGTACATAATTGGCTGCTTAATTCTGCATCTCCTGATGGCCATTTTTGGACTGAACTGCAAATAGTAATATTTTCTCTGGAGAGATGAATCTGAGTTTACCTTACATGCTCATGAATTTTCTAACATCATGCATGTGGCAGGGCAGAACTGGGGTCGCATTGATGATTGTAGATTCAATTGTTGTTTTATTTGTGTTGATGCTGCAATACCCGTGCTGGATCAGTACGTGGGGCAAAGAGTAGATTGCATGATTGATGCTGGATTGCTCGGTGAAGTTTATGATATTTACAATCCTAATGCGGATTATACCCGAGGCTTACGACAAGCCATTGGTGTACGGGAATTTGAGGATTTTCTGGGAGTTTACCGTTTGGAAGGCAGGAATTGTAGTCCAAATGATTCTACTGATGAATCTCTCTTCATGGTATCAGCAAACAAGGAGAAGATGCTGAAGGATAATATTAGAGAGATTCTCTGTTCCTCTGATGATAATGAACTGAAAATTCTTCTAGTTGAAGCTATTGACAAAGTAAAATTAAATACCAGAAGACTTATTCGTCGTCAAGTAAGTTTGTGTTATCACACCTAACATGTTTTTTAGATATGCATTTGAGAGATATTTGTGTGTGTGTGTGTGCGTGCGTGTATAATATTTATGGTCCATGTCGCCCCTTGATATGTGTCAATATTTCCAACTGATATAATTCTTGGAAATTTTCATCTTTGTAATGCTAATTTCTTTTGTTTGTTCCTAACCCAAATTTTCTCAGCACAATGAAAAATTTATGAACTAATCATGTCATTGTTTTTATTATTTTCTGTGCACAAATTTGTCTGCCATGAATTATTTAGAATCTATGACTTAGTCTCTGGGAAAATACTAGTTCTAATTTATCTCAAACATTGATCCACTCTGAAATACGTTTTTCTGTGCTGATTAATCCTCTATTTTGAATTTCTCTGTATAGAGAGCAGTTGCTGCTGATATTTCAGCTTATGATCAATATGGAAGCTTTATGATGGGAATTGTTTTTGTTTTGCAGAAAAGAAGGCTTACACGGCTCCGAACATTGTTTGGCTGGAATATACATTATGTTAATGCAACAGAATCCATATCAAGTAGAAAATTTCTCTGCCTATTTTTGTCTAATCTAAAGTACTAATCTAAATTAGTCTTTTTTAGCTGTTGAAAAATATTTTCAAGACACTCTCCTGAGTAAGATAGGATGATTATATGTTCCAGGCAAATCAGATGAATCATGGTCTGCAGAAGTAGTTGGACCTGCAGTGGAAATTATCAGATCCTTTTTAAGTGAGGATGGGAGCTCAGTGTCTGATTTTAGGGCAAATGATGGTGCTGGAATGGGATCAATTGGAAGAAACTTGTGGACCCAGTATGTGTGCAAGGTGAGTTTTGCTTGATGTACTTTGGGCAAATACCTGTTCTGCTTTTTGACATTTTGTTTCCTTCTGCTGCTTAAATTGGCTGGTAACTTATTTTTGACATTTTGACTTCTTTTGCTCTAACACTGGTGTCTACATATGATTTACCTATTGGTAGGCTTGTGGGGATAGGGTTCTTAGAGGAGCTCATGAGTGGGAGCAGCACAAACTAGGCCGTGGGCATCGGAAACGAGTTTCTAAGTTTCGGAAGGTTCAAAGGCAAGGTTCTTCTTTGGTGGATCAGGACATTCTAACCATAGTTAGCAACCAAGTTTCAGGATCATAGAACTTACTGGTTATGAGCTGGAATGATATGAACAACTCCCATTCGAGATTTCTTTATGGCGGGCAAGGACATTCTGGCCGTAGTTAACAACCAAGTTTCAGGATGCAAGGACATTCTGACCTTAGTTAACAACCAAGTTTCAGGACCAAGAACTCTCTGGTTATGAGCTGGAATGATATGAACGACTCTCATTCAAGATTTCTTTATGGTGGGCAAGGACATTCTGACTGTAGTTAGCAACCGAGTTTCAGGATCATAGAACTCTCTGGTTATGAGCTGGAATAACGTGGACGACCTCCATTAAAGATTTCTTTGTAAGGTATCATGCTAAAAGGCAACTGGGAATGTACCAACATTTGTTACATCTTTCCTTGTTTCTTGAAAACGGTTGACTTGGATTCTTGAATGAGGGTTGTGTTAGGACCTAATTGCGTACAGAAAAGGCTTAGTTGTAATAAGGAAAAGCATCATTGGATTTGATTCTAATTGTGAGATTGCTTATGTGACGATTGTGCTTACGACTCGAGCATGCAATTTGTGATATAAATAATGAACGTGTATTGTTGATGTCATAAATGATTTTTGGCCTAATATGTCAAATTACCTTGAATTTTGCAGTTTTTTGTATTTTATTTTATTTTGACTTTTTGTTTTTTATCAATTTTATTTCAATTTTTGACCTTTTGTAACAATACAACCTCAATTACTATTAAGAATTGTAAGTGAAAATTTATGTTCAACCTTTTTTAAATCAAGACTTATACACTTTTAAAAAATAAAAATTAAAAAGAATTCCATTAGTGTTATCTAATTAATGTTGCATATAAATTAAAATATTAGTTTTTGAAATGAATGTGCTAATTAATAATTTAAGAACATACGTTTCTATTATTTAACAAAAAAAATTCTGAAATATGGGATAAAAATTAATTTAATGAAATATGATTTTTTTTTTCAAATTACGTGGTTTTATTTTATATTGTTTATATTTTAAGAATGAAAGAAAATTCTAATTGTTGTAAGTTTTGAATTGATAATATAGTCAAATTATTAATTATTCATTTAGTAAAAATAAATAAATAACTTAAATTATTTTAATTGAATATTTCTAAATCTATTGTGTCATCCACTGGATATGAATATAATTTGATATGTAAAGGACATTTAAAATTTTATTTTTATTAATAATTTTTACAATGATAAAAATAATTTTATTTACAATTCCATCTTTAATAGCAATTGAAAGTGCTTTGCTGTAAAATGCGAAATTGAAATAAAATTGGCAAAAATGTCAAAGTAAAGTGATTGCAAAAATTTGGAAAGTTAAGAGTATTTTGATGTAGTAGGCCATGATCCTACAACCAATATATATACATAATGCACGAGCTCACCATACACTAAACTAATAAAAAATAATTTTTTCGATTAAAAAGAATATTTTTAAATATTTATTAGGAAAAAAGATAAAATAGTAGTAACTTTTTAGAAAATCCTTTTTAATTGACACAGTGTATGGCTGATCCCCTACATAAAGCGTAAGCAAGTCTTATTTTACAATTTAAATATTGTCCTTTTTCTATCTACAACTTCTCTGTCTGTCTCTTAATATTATTTCTCTACATGTTCTGCTCTCTCTTTCATTTTTTCATCATTTCTCAACTTTCAAACATAGGTGCAATGGCTAAGTCATTGCATTTTTCAAGTCCTAGAAAAGCGAGCATTGCTCCATGGTCAATTGATGGGAAGTTCACGATCACCCACGCAAGGGCGATTTTAGGGGAGGGAAGAGAGGATCTTAGAGAAAAAAAATTTGAGATGGTGGTAGTTCATTTGAGTTAAAGGTGTCCCGATTTAAAATTGCAGTGTCTCAAGTGACGTAAAACAAAACCATAGATTGTCATACCAAATATTGTAGCTTGCGGAGATGATTTGCTCTTTCAAATGGGGATAACTAATTAATCCTTTCTAATTTTGATATTGCTACTTTAAGATCCCTACATAGGACCCAAGGCTTTCTATCACCTTGCCATTGGAAAATCGAGGAAGCCTCAAATCCTATTTCTAATTGCGCTTGGCTAGGTGCAAAATTAATTGATTTCAAACCATAATTTTTCCCCTCCAAACCCTAACCCTAATCACATTGGAAATAGTTCCTGAGGGGCTCTTAATCTTAATCCTTCTACTTTACATCCTAATTTTGCCTTCAATTAGACTACAAAATTCAATAATTAGTGACAAAATTTAACGAAAGAATTGCATTCCATCGTTAAACATCAACGAACTATTGACTATAACTGATCCAATTAAGTTGAGAAAATTTATTTATTTTATTAAAAATATAATGATGGATTGTTGTTATTTCTTCGCCAAATAGCAATTTGAAAATGATCGAAGTGGTTGCTAAAATTCGCACCATAAATTTGGCAGGAGGAGTAATGGCGGAATAGTAATGGACTAGTGATCGAAAATATGACTATCAAGTTTGCTGAGGAAGCTGCTTGGGATTCGGAGAAATCTATTATTGTCTCTACAAGACAAATTTCAGTTGAGAATATCACTCAAGAATCAGAAGCAAATGAAGAAATTGAAGGCCATAACTTAGAAGATGTTGATGATGTAGCCATTAGAGGAACAAGAAGCTTGAATGGTATATACAGCATATGTCACTTAGCTGTAAGTGAACCATATTGTTATGAAGAAGCAGAAAAATCTCAAGAATGGAGAGCAGCAGTGAAGGAGATAGGATTGATTTCAAAAAATAATACTTGGTGTCTTGTTGATAGACCAACCAATAAGAAAGTTATAGGGGTTAAATGGATTTATAGACTGAAATTGAATGCTAATGGCTCAATTAGCAAGTACAAAGCAAGACTTATTGTGAAAGGTTACTCTCAATAGTATGGATGGGATTTCACAGAAACATTTGCACCTGTGACAAGATTTGACACCATCAGACTGCTTATTTTGGTTGTAGCTCAAAAATCTTGGGATGTTTATCAACTTGATGTTAAGTCTGCTTTTTTAAATGGATATTTGGAAGAAGAAATCTTCGTTGAGCAACTAGAGGGATTTGTGCAAAAAGGAGATGAAGGCAAAGTTTATTTGCTAAAGAAAGCCTTATACGACTTAAAACAAGCACTTAGAGCCTGGTATTGCAGAGTTGATGAGCATCTATAGGGGCTGGGGTTCATCAAAAGCTGCAATGAGGCTACTTTGTATTTAAAAGAGAAAAATGGTGAATTGTTGATTGTTTCTATTTATGTAGGTGGCCTTTTGATCACAGAAGCAGCTTTGCATTGGTGAATCAATTTAAAGAAGAAATGAAACATGTGTTTGAGATGAATGATTTAGGAAAAATGTCTTATTTCTTGGGAATTGAGATCATTCAATCTGCACGTGGTATATTTCTTTGCCAAAAGAAATACTTGAATGAAGTTTTGATAAAGTTTGGAATGCAAAATTGTAAAGAAGTTAGCACTCTTCTAGTTCGGAAAGGATTACATACTCACAATTTAGTATGGATGCGTGGATTTCACAAGAAAAACATTTGCACCTTGTCGACAAGAACTTTTGACACCTCATCAGACCTGCTTATTTTGTTTGCTAGAGCTCCAAAACAATCTTTGGGGAGTGCGCTTTATTCACACTTCTTGCATGTTCAAGGTCTGCTTTTTTAAATGTGATATTTGGTAAGACAAGAAATCTTCGTTGAGCAACTAGAAGCGGACTTGCTGCAAAAAGGAGATGAAGGCAAAAGTTTATTTGCTAAAGAAAGCCTTATACGACTTTAAAACAAAGCACTTAGAGGCCTGGTATGGCAGCGAGTGTTGATGAGCATCTATAGGGGGCTGCGGGTTTCATCAAAAGCTGCAATGGAGCTACTTTGCATTAAAGAGAAAAATGCGTGAAATTGTTTGATACACTTGTTTCTATTTATGTCCAGCGTGCCTTTTTGATCACAGAAAGCCTAGCTCTTGCATTGGAATATTCAATATTCAAAGGAAGAACATGAAACATGTGTTTGAGATGACATCTGATTGTAGGAATAAAAATGTTCTTCATTTCCCTTGGGACATTGAGAAATTCCATTCAATCTGCACCGTGCGTATTATTATCTTTGCCACAAGAAATACGGTGAATGAAGTTCTTGATAAAGTTTTGGAATGCAAAATTTGTAAAGAACGTTTAGCAACTCTTCTCCTAGTTCTTAGTGAAAAAATGAGCAATTCACGGAATGGTGAAAGCAAGGTTGATGCAAGTCTTATATATAGAAGTCCTTATTGCGGTATGTCTCTTACTTATATTTTATTTTGTTCACCAGGCCTGATTGTTATGTATGCAATTCAAGTCAAATGGCATTCGTTCAAAAGCGTTTCACTGCAACAAGCTTTCCAAAGATCGCACAAAACCATTAAGAAGCTTGCGGCAAAATGGGTCTTAAGATATTTAAAGGGAACAATCACTTGATCTTTGGAATTGCCTATAATAGAAAACAATTTGTGAAGTAAAAGATGCGGGATTCAATCTGATAGTTGGACCTGGCAGAGGCTCAAATGATTACATGAAACGAGCACACTCTCAGAAAAACCAGATTTCCCTATCAACCGTCATCTGCCTTCGTTTTCTCCATTCGCTCATCCACTAAAATGCCATTCAAACTCTAACATTTACTTGCGACTTTATCATATATGCTTGCCTCTCCGGTGACTGATCGAGCCACCGATATACTTCTACTCTCGCCCTCGTTACATCATCATGTCCTCCACATGCTTATCACCTTCACATCAAACATCCTTCTCTTGTTTGAGACCCCAGTGACCGCACTGCAATTCTATGCTTTCCCACCTCCCTTTAAAGTCCGCCCATCCCTTCTTCTGCCGCCCTTAAACTGTTATCCGCCCGCACCAGAAACCCTTTCTCTCAAATATCGGACCCCTCTCTCGATTCAGTACCTTATACATACCTCAAAGTCCCCTCAGACTTGCTCATCCCAATATTCGCATTGGCGCTGCAGCGCTGTCACCGAGTCTCAACTTAGCATATCAGTAAACAGTTGCTGAATTGCATTAGCAATTCTATACAACGGTTACCTCCAAACCGACCAATCACCTTACACAGCTGCTCGAACAGTCCAGTGGTTACAGCTCCCAACCAGCACTCGCACACCTCTGACTTCAACTTCATCTCCACCTAACCTCTCTATCATCCGAGACTCTAAATGTCATCTAGGCACTGGTTTGCCACGAACTGCTCCTTTATATCGACACCCATCTATCATCTAGCGCCTGCATGCTTATTTTCACGAACAGATCAAGTCGTCCAGATCCTGTTAGACCCAAGCTTTCTGCGTGCTTGATCATTTCAATCAAAAGACCTATTTTAACATTGTAAAGAAGTTAGCACTCTTCTAGTTCTTAGTGAAAAATTGAGCAATTCAGATGGTGAAAGCAAGGTTGATGCAAGTATATATAGAAGTCTTATTGGTTGTCTTCTTTATTTATTTGTCACCAGGCCTGATGTTATGTATGCAATAAGTATGCTGTCAAGGTTCATGCAAGCTCCAAGTGAAAACCATT